AACTTTTTTTTTGTAATTAAAATTGAGACACTTCTGATCTCATCGAGTTCAGCAGCGTCAGACTGGGCATCTTCAGGAGGTGAGGTGGTGGTGGTAAAAAAAAGTCGAGATAGACCACCACAGTGTGATCCAAGGTGGCCTGTGATGCACACCCAAAAAAAGCAGAACTTCAACCAGTTACAATTGCTATCGTGCCTCCCCCTCCCATACACAATACATAGAGAAACTCCTAGATTCAGGAAATATAGATTAGAGTGTTTTTGTTGTTGTTGTTTCACTTACGGCTTTCCTCTTCCTTTAAAGACCAATAAATTTACCTCATTTGCACTTTGTTTTGCATTGTTGAGGTTTGCTATTTGCAATGTATGAAATGAATACAGTCGTGACAAAAGAGGAGCTAGATGTTTGAAACAGCGCTTTGGAGGATAAAAACAGAATACTTTATTTAATGTTTAGACAAGGATAACTTTTCCCTGTTGTGATTAAAATAGCTTGTGCTAACAAGCAAACTGAGCTGGTTGATCAGCAAATGTCTGATGGATTTAAGAAAGAATCAGCATTAAATGAGAATCAGCAACATATGTGTGACTTGACCACAGAAGGAAAATAGTACGGTATTTTGTTTTGTTTTGTGCAGCTATATTTAGAAACCCCCTAAGCTCCAATAATATTTGAGGATATGTCACAATAGCAAGACTGATCTAATAGAATTAGGTTCTATCTCACTGTTCTCCTATCCCACTCCTCCAGACCAAAACCCTGGATAATAAGGATTTGCTTTAAAAAAAAACTGTCCTAATTAACTTTGGCGGTAGAGTAAGAACCAAACTCCATATGGTTCTCAACAGGTTATCTATTTTTTTGTAAATGAAAGGGAGGAGGTAAAACTTACTGGGAGATGTGCTTTTGAGTAAAACAAGGCAGCGGAGAAAGGGACAAGCATTCCTCTACCATCCCCACATCCTTCTCGATTCAAAGGAGCTTTCCAAAAGACCAATCAGAACTACATTACAAGCTTTTGCCCATAAATCCTAGCATGTTCCTTAAGAATCGAGGGAATGCCAAATAAATAAATAAACAAACCACATGCATCATTGTGAAATCATTCACATCATTGTGAATAATGTCATTATTGCTCTTCCTCCCTCCCCAATGAAACTCATCATTGGAATTTAGGGAAATCAGAGTCAATTTTCATCTGGTTGTTCCTAGTCACTCATCCAACTTTTCATTTCTTTGGCTTGATTATATGATTGTTTAAATATGTGGCATTGCAAAAGCATTTCCAGACAAATTTTCCTCCAGGTTCTTCTTGATTTTATCTCGGCTAAAGAGTTTGCTTTTCTGCCTCAAAACAACAGATTAGATACAGATTGGAAAATTTGAATGGCTGAGATTTTAAGTAATTGAAAGTAAGGGAAAGTAACAACAGAGAGCCTGAAAAGTAATGCTGCTTCGTTTGTTCCCATCAGTATTTCCATTGAGTGTTTTCTCCTGTGAAGAAAGCTTTCACTTGCTGGGAAATAATAATGGTCAAGGCATATTTCTCTCTTGACCATGCTTGTAAAGTAGTTGAACTGGTTGGTCACTGTGTGACAGAGAAAACTGGACTGGATAGGCCATTACAGTAGCCTGATTCCATAGGATATTTCTTTGGTCCAGATAGTCAGTGATCGTGTTACATAGGTGCAGAATGGTATGTGAAATAAGAAAACAGAACAAGCTTAAAATAAAAAAAAACCTTCAGAGTAGGATAGAAATAACAGCAGTAGAAAAATATAAAAAATGCAGAAAACTAAGCCAATGACTTGCCAAGATAGGATTGCTTTTGATTATGCATATGCAGAGCAAGACTCAGCTGAGCATCCTAAGTGGGGAGTAGGTTGGTATGGGAAGCAGTGGTCCTTTAGCTAGCTCAGTCTAAAACTACTGGAATTTTAAAGGTGAAAGCCAACATTCTGAATTAGAATTAGAAACAAAGTGGGAACTTTTGAAGATGCTTATGAACTCAGGGAGAGATGATAAAAAAGTAGGCTTCTGTCAGCACTTTTGCTGCCACGTTCTGTAAAATCCATATAATCCCACAAAATGGTGAAATTACCTTGTTGTTGTTAGTTGCGAAGTTGTGTCCGACCCATCACAACCCCATGGACAACGTTTATCTAGACTAGAGCACCTTTTTTCAACCTTGGCAACTTTAAGATGTATGGATTTCAGCTCCCAGAATTCCCCAGCCTGCCTGGAAATCCACACATCTTAAAGTTGTCAAGGTTGAGAAACACTGATTTAAACTTAATCAGATAATCTTGCGAAGATAGGTAGATAAAAGTGCCAAGTCCAGTCTAAACATCTGGCTGACTATACAAGCAACCACAACCACAACAAAATACCCTGCGCCTATATTTTCAGTTGTTACCTAAATAATTCTTAATTCCTTGGTTAGGATTTTAGTTATCAAACTTCTACTGTGAATTGAACTGTAGATTACTACTGTTACTACTATTTCTACTACTAATTGTTTAAACTTGTGTGCTGTCCAACTCTCAGTGACAGATGATCTCTGATGTACTCTTTCTTTCATAAGGAAAATAGCAGGTTGTCCAACTGATTGTCAGGAAGAATATACCTCCCCCCCAAAGAAATACAGACATTGGAATGGTCAAGCTTTACAAGTCTCTGCTCCACCACATACAAAGAAGATCAGCAATTTCATCTCACCTTTACATTATTTTTTTTATTGTTTTGGATGTATATGTTTAGCAGTTATACTTGTGTAAGAGAGTTACAGATGAAAAGATCAGCGAGACAATCTAGTTGCACTATGAAATGAATGCACAACCAAATGAGCCAATATCGCTTATGAACACACTTGCACATGCACACACACACCCATATATACAAAAAGCATGGCAACTGTGTAAAATGAAGATAGGAAGTTGCTATTGATTGAGTTAGCCTATTTATTCTTTTAGCATGGCTAATTTTTATTTATTTATTTATTCCATTTCTAGAGCCACCCAACTGGGCTATATTAACTGGTAATATCTTTCCAGAGCTTTAACCCTCTATGGAGATATTAGAGACTGAATTTAGGTCCATATACATGCAAACCATGTATTTTAATTACCAATGATTGCTCCTCCTACTTACTTTGCTAATAGCCAAGCACTGAGAGGGTGGGACCAGCTCTAGGCCACATGAGGTAACCATATTTCGTTGTCAGTGAGTACAATCCAAAGGTGCACCTCAAAGGCTTTTGCAGTGAGTTCCACATATCATCCACATATATATATAACTATCTGGAATAGCCAGGTTTGCTAAATGGCTAAAATTACATCCAACTCACTTTCAGCCAGTTTTATTATCCCTTCTCATCCATATTTCCTGGGAGATGGAAACTACTCCGTTTGAAGCTCCAAATGTATTACTTATTACAGAAAGAGGCCATACAAATGTAGTCTTGTATCTGCTCTGTGGATCCATATGGAGGTTCAGATGGAATTTAGAAGCCTCTTATAAGGCCAGGGCTACTAGCTTTGGGGTAGCAGATGATCCAGTTTAGCAGATGATCTCCTCGGAAAGCAGAAGATCCCAAATGCAATTTTTGACATCTTTAGTAAAAACACGAACGGGCAACCATGTAGCCCTCAATTTAATTTCAGAGGATTCAGTCTAATTCAAGAAGCCCTTTGCAAGAGCAATCTATCCTGCTCATTATATGGGAGAAGAGGAAGTTAGAGAATTATCAAATTAGAGACAAAGGAATGCCAGAAAGAGACAATAGTGGCCTAAGCATAGTTCATTTCAACTTCGTTCACTCCTAAGTAACGCATCCTTTGACAGAATAAAAATTGTACCCTTCCTTATTTGAGTAATGAGTCAGCAGGTAATGGAAATGACTAACTTTTTGCGTGCAGATCCACTTCTGGTTAGAGCATGCAATATTTGGCTAGATCATGTATAAAAAAATCTGCTCTAATAGAACACATTTTCAGCCATTATCACACCATCTTAAAGATCAATCTAACTATCGAAAATCTATAAGCTGTGACAAGCCTTATCCTATTTTATTTAGTTCTTTGATCCATCTAATCTTGTGTTATCTAGTCCATTTAGCATTTTTGTTTTTACAATGTGGGAGGTTTTCTCCCGGCTTTCTAGTCTATTTAGCTTTTTCTGTTTTTTAGGATGTGGGAGGTTTTTCCCAGTTTTTCTGCCTTCTGGCTGGAATACTGAGGTCAGATGGTATTTCTGACTGCAAACCTGAGCTGGGCCATTGTGCTGTGTATGAGCCCACCCTTTATGGTGCTCATCTGACAGCAGTGGGGATAGGTCTCTGCTCTCATGAATACTGCATAGTTCAGTAACTTGTTCTGTTTTGAGGTCTTCCTTAGCCACTGGCAGCCATCACAGGACATAGGGGATGTGTCACCTGCTGCGGGACTAAGAAAAAGAAAGGAAGCTTCCTCAGCTGCTGATCTGTATGTCAGGCTCTTAAGGTCAGAGCAGTGGCATATAGAGAATGGGTTTTACTCTCTCTCTCTCTCTCTCTCTCTCTCTCTCTCTCTCTCTCTCTCTGTGTACATACACATACAGACAGACAGACATATACTCATATTGGCATCTGAGCATGTAAAAATCATAATGTTTCCGTTAAAAAGGGCAATAATGGCAAAGAAGGCCATTATCAAACGGTGATCTTTCAAATGCCAACCTTGACTGATTGATTCACTATGTTAACGGACAGATGAAGAAGGTGCTTGAGGTGGTGGGATCTGCAATTCTTTGCCTTTGGAGTTCACAAAATTAAGGAAATTCAGCGACTTGAAGCAATTTTTCAAGCTACCCCATAGCTGCTGGAAACGGAGCTTGACAGTCCAGAATAAATGACACCATCCATTCCCCATTATCTTGATGCCTTCCTGGGTAGACAGGTATCTGCAGTGAAGAGCTTTTTTTTCCAGTTGTCCACATTAAAACTTTTTTTGGGGGGAGAAAAAAGGGAGTGTTTACATTCCTGGAGGGCCTGGAAATCCACGTAAACCTCGTAAACCAGGATCCCCTTTTCGGCCCTTCGGCCCTAAAGGACCAGGGGGCCCGAGTTTGCCTGGGATGCCTGGTTTCCCCTGTGGGCCAGGTGGGCCAGGTGGACCAATGGCCCCCTCAGGCCCTGGAGATCCAGGGTCCCCTTTGGGGCCTGTCCGCCCCTTGGAACCCCCTTGTCCAAAGCTACCCTTGCTTCCTTTGAATCCAGTGGGGCCTTTTGTGCCCACAGTGCCTCTCTCGCCTTGAGGTCCAGGAGGTCCGGGAGGGCCCAAGGAGCCTTTTGGCCCAGGAGGGCCCAGACTCCCCATGTCACCCTTTACTCCTCTGCTTCCAGGTGGCCCTTTAATGCCAAGATCTCCTCTGAATCCCCTGGGGCCAGGAGGGCCAGGAACACCTGGAGAAAGAGAAGAGGCAAGGAAAGACTAAGCAAATGGGCAGCAATACCTTTTTTTTTGTTTTTTTAAAAACAGGTTTACATTGTTCATTATAAAAATCATCCCGAATAGTATGCAAAATAAAATTATTACACATTATACAATCATTTCAGTAAAAATAATGATGGATAAAGCCCAGGAAAGAAGCAAAAATAGCTGAAAAAATGGCATCTTCTGATTCAATGGTAATCTGTAGAAGATGACACCCAAAAACAATCTCCTTTGATGACCGTAAGGATCCTCAAGTAAGGATGCTGTAGCCCAGGGTGCCACAAGCACAGACGGTGGGGCCCACATGGCCTGCCAGTACCCCTTTATGGATCCAAATCCCCCAAGAGTGGGCGAAGTAAATATTTATCCCATTTTTGCAGTGTAGGATTTTTGAGGAATTTTAAGAGAAAAAAAACCCAGCCTGGTTGAAGGATTTAAACCTGGTTGAAGGGTACCCATTTCATCCCTTAAAACTTTCTAACCTCCCCCCAAATCTTTTGGAGTTTTGGGCATAATTATTTTGAAGTACCACCCTTAATATGCTTAGTAGTGCCTGGTATAATTCCTGACTTGATGAAATGGACATGAATTGATTAGAAGAGCAGCTTAAAAACTGAAGAAGCTTCTTGGATGAGAAGTTAAAGGTCTTCAAGGAAAAACAAAAAAAATCCAGTTGCCTTTTGCAAAAGCACCTTTGGGACAGCAGCTTAAGAGGAATGAGGAATGTTTAAGGAATGAGCAATGGACAGAAATGTGCATTGGGTGGGCCACATAAACTCTTCTGCCATCCTATAATCCTCTGTAACTTCAGGACATATTTTGGACGGCACTGTTTTTGTGGAAGCACCATTACTTCATCCTGCCTGAGACACAAAATAGCCTGACTTAGGCCCAAGACATATCAAGTGCACTAAGGCATTTTGGATTTGCTTGCTTTCGCATTTTCATGTTTGTTTTGGCATGTTTTTTTCCCAGTTTGCAAATGTAATAATTACAACATGTCATATGCATTTTGTGCATTCTTCTTAAAGCACATATTTTGTATACGTTTCCCTCTAAAACAAGAATTTTGTGACTTTTCTAATATGTGTAATTTTGTAGGCTATAATACTTGTTTGTACATATGTCCATAATATAATATTCTGAAAAGTGAGCATTTCATGAGTATGTAGTTTATTCCAAGTGCATTTTTAAATTCAGAAAGTGTTTCTAACTGAAGTTCCCCAGCATAACTGCAGAAAACAGGATTGAACAAAGTTTTGTTTTGAAATTCTGGGACAGAGTAGTAAAAGCAACATTAGTACTATAAACAACAGCTGTACTCCTTGCAAATAACTAGAGTTGTAAGCCCAAAATATCCAGAAGCATCAAAATGTCGAAAACCCCTGCAGAGAGGCAAAACATCTACATTCTGAAAATGTTTAGATAGTTCTTATAGCTTTTGGGGAGTGGAGGACAGACAGTTAGGGTAATTTTATGCAAGTTTTTCCTCTCTGAAAGTCACGGGGTTTGTAACAATCATGTATTATCCACTGGAGAATACAAGTTTTTTTTTTTTAAAAAAAGTTTTTTTAAAAAAATAATTAGGATAGTAAGATTGTTTTCTTTCTAAAATTGATGTTTTAAGGTAAAAGCAGATATTTTTCTTCATATACAGAAAGAGAGAGGGAAGGACATTCAATCCCATTATTATATGATAACGTGATACTCAGTTTTGGTATTGTAAGTCTCAATGGATGCTTAGCTAGTGGCAAAGTTTCCTTGCTTGCTGCAGACACATAATTCCTGCTGCCTAGCTTCAATTACTCATCTGAGAAGCATCTTTCCAAAATTCAAATTCTTGTTTTCTTTCACCCCAGGTAATGCATTTGACAGGCAGGTGGTAGACTGATGTAATTGTGTGTTACATTAAAATGGCACAAGCAGCAGTGCTCTCTTACTGCTGTGATAATACATCTATGCTCATTTATTGTTTAATTCTAAGTTGGAGAACCTGGAACTGCAAATAAATGCCTATTGACCTCCTGTTTTGATGAAACAATTCATATGGTGCCTTTTTAAAAAAGTGGCCAGAAACTGACAAAGCCAGAATTTTCACATAGATGTAAAAAAACTTACAAAGTATGAAGAGCTTTTCTTTATATATTCTAGGTAGGATATAACCTAATTAACTAATTAAAAAGTACAGGAAGTAAAAGTCAACAGTGCACTTTTCTATTCTGTAAAGATGACCAATAAGCTCTGGAGCAGCATTGAGAGAATCAAGGTTATTTGTCAAAATCCAATTACCTGGGTTTATGAGGTCAGCATTCAGAGGGAGGAAAACCACTAGTCTGGGAGATAATGGAATGGTGATTTTCTCTTTCTGTCTCTCATATTCACTTCTAAAAGGAAGTGGTGACTCTTCCGCTCAAAATTTAATACCAGTTTTGTGGCAAATAACATCTCTTGTTCCATGCAAGGTTTTTCTTTCTCAACTGTGTTGACATGTGGGAGTATCTAGTTCTATGCATGTGTGTTTAGAAATATTCTATTGAGTTTTCTAGGGCTTATTTCCAAGTAAAAGGGCATAGAATTTGCTCCATTGTGATCAATCATAAGAGATGGACTCACAAATTGCAATAAGCTATAGTTTGTTTTAACTTTGTTATATTGAATTGGGCAAGATGCTTGACTAATACATAACACTAAGCCATAAACTATGACTTACAGATCAAAACGATTGTATTCATACATTGCCCTAAATTAAAAAAAACAAATAAATTAATATAATACTTAACCCAATGTGTGAATCCAACCCTTACTTGCAAATGAATGCAGCCAGGTCTGACAGAGATCTAATGTGTTAGTAGGGTGCAGACATCACACCATGTCATAAGATGATTTACTGCTTCTCACTTATAAAGCTGTAAGATCCACTTATTGTAATGTAGCATTATATACAAACCAAAGTATATATAAGAGCTTGTTTATTAGACCATGGAGAAATAATTTGTGTAGACATGAGTTTTTTTGGAAAAAATTGTCCAAATTTGTGAGGGAGAAAAAAAATCATTCTGAATAACTTCCTCTTTAACCTTTGCCTCCTGCTCTCTTCAGTAATTCACATCAAAATTGTAACTCATTACATGGAAAATGTTTTACATAATCAGGAAAGTAACTAACAGATTAGTCATTTTGTGTACCCTGTTTGTTTGCTTGCTTTTTAAATTGAAAGCTTCTGTAGTCTTTATATTTGTATACTTTCCCAGGTAAGCTCAAAGATACCTTGTCTTTTAGTTTATGAGGTTTTTTATTCAGAAAAATATATTTCTAAGAAATTATTAATAGACTCTCCCACATATTCACAGTTCCATTAAACAGACGAAATGATTCTACATTAGGATCTTTTTATTTGGGAGATATTCACCTGGAAAACCAATCCTGCCATTTCTTTACCTTGTATAATGGTGATGTTCCTCAGGATCTCCCCATGATGGATATCAACAGCTTTCATCTCTTCCATGACCATTGAAAGGTTGCGAATGTTAAAGTTTAACCGGGCATTGAGCAGGCTAAAATGTTCTCGCAGAAGATCTGTGGTGCTTATCATGAGGCTGACTGATTTGTTCAGGTAGTAAAGCTCTTCAGCATGTGTGTGGAAGCCCAGTGTGCAAGAGAGTCGCACATCATCCAAGTACTTGAGCATGCTGTGGACATGGTTATCAGTGGCATTGATGTTGGTAAAGATTGTGCTGATCTCAATCTCATGGGATGACATACGGCCTTCTAAGGTCTGAAAGTGCTCAGCTGTCCGGTTTTGCATGTATTGAGTATGGTACTGAAAGTCATGCATGTTCTCCTCATGGTCATCCAAGAAAGAGGAGATATTGTCCAGCTGCAACTGTAAACTTGTTACTTGGAGTATGAGTTCATGCATACTCTCTGAGTTCTGGCTGATCCTTTGCGAGGCAATACCTAAATTAGTTTGAACATTCTTGACCAGGTCAGCTGTTTTGGAAGAGGTGGCCCTCAAGCTGCCAAACAGGCGGGTGTAGTTCTGCCACTCAGTCACAATCTTCTGTAGTGTCAGGGTCTCCTCATTTGTCTTTCTTTGGATGATCTGGATCCAGTCTGAGGTCTGCTTACTGGTAAAGTTTATCTGCTGCATAGCAATTTCAACATCAAAATGTTCTTGTGTTAGCTCCTTGAGTGAGCTGCCTAACTGAGAAGTGGCAGCCTGCCAGCCCATCACTTGAGCCAGAAAGAGGCTCAAACTCTGGTTGGCCTGCTGAACAGCAGAGAAACATCTATCCACTTCATCAGTTATCTTGCTGCTGGAAGATGAAAGCTGCTGATGGGCTTGTCCAGCACGATCAAGTAATACATCCTGGGCCAAGAGCTTCTTCTGAATCTCCTCCAGCTCTTTTTGCAATTTGCTAATCTCCTGTCCAAGTTGCCCTGTGTCATGACACAAAGAGCAGTTGTCCATTGATTTCTGATCTGAATGAAGGAGCAGAAGCATATCAGTTTAGTTGATAATACTGTTTTAATGTGGAAGTTTAAGCAATAAGTGATTACAGTTTCTTCCCATGACTAAATTATGAAGAACATATTAGGAAAATAATGTGCCTGCACAAAAATAAATACATGTTACAGAATCCAGTTTCCCTTGTTGCAGAATTTAAGCTAAATAATCACATAGCTTCCCAATGTGATTATCTGCAATCCAGTTTCCCTTGTTGCAGAATTTAAGCTAAATAATCACATAGCTTCCCAATGTGATTATCTGCAAATCACATAATTCCAGGAAGCTTGATCCTTGACACCTGAGGATGATATAAGCTGTTGTTAAACACAGCTGGAAACAGTAGGTTGGAGATGGCTGACCAAGCATACAAAATACTGGAGGCACTGGTGGCACTGCTTAATTTGTTGCTACAAGGTCCTGACCTGGATCTTGTTTTTCCTCCCATCATTGTAATCTGCTAATACCTAAGAAATGAGAAATGGATCACAGGTCTTTGACATCTAGTCTTATTTGAAGTTCAATTACCAAAATGTTGTTGAATAAATGGAAAACAAGTTCTAGCCACCATGTTTCTAAATTGTTCCTTAAATATTTTAAGTTATCCCAAAGCTATATGAGTCAATAACACATAAATCCAATTATTCAATGTAATGCCAAAGATATGCAGAAGCTTACTAACTGGATGATTTTTTCCTATACATAGCCAACCAGCATGTTATCGTATATGACTCCAAATTTCAAGATGAACCCTCCAAAGGAAGAGTAAAAAATCTTAACAATATTGTCTGATCCCAGTTTTCTTATATAAGATACCTACGCCAATTGGAAACTAATTGTGTCCATGTGACATAGTTGTGTATGCATGGATATATATCTCATGAGAAGTTATAATCCTCATAATGGGAAGGCCAGAACAGTAGCAGAGACTAATAACTACTAGTTAAAATCAGTTGTGTGTAAATAAGTTATTTCAGTTGATCCACAATCCTCATATACCATCCAGTCTCACAAACATCAACGAAACAATCATCATAGAAACATAATTCATGCACAATCCCTTCTTCCAGCAGAAACAGCAAGAAAGAAAAGAAGAAAGAGGGTGCAAGAAAATGAGAGAAAAATGTAATTACACTGGAAAGAGAAGAAAAGGGGGAACAAAAGTAGGTGGAGATAACAAGACGAGGTGGGGGTGGGGTGAGCCAGGGAGGTAAAATCTATGAAATTCTACAGAATGTTTATGACTAGATTAAAAGAAAAAGAAAAAGAGAGAAAAGGTATATGTAGGCAAGCAGTCTGTCTCAGCAACAGCTAATTTTTTAAGTTAATTTAAAGAAGCAGCTTTATTTGCAATCTTTTGTACCAAATGTCTATGGAGAGTCTTAGTCATCCAGGTCATGGTTGTCCCAAAGATGCTTTTTCAAGAGGCAACTGGACTTTCTTGTTATTCTTTACCTCCCTGGCTCACACCCACCCACTCACCCCAGAAGTCCAGTTGCCTCTTGAAAAAGCACCTTTGGGACAATTTTTTGTACCATTTGCCTATTCCTTTGTTTTAACAGGTTCTTCTGTTTTCTTATCAAC